CACTAACACTGACACACAATCACAATAACACTGCAACAAACCACACTAACACTGCCACACAACCACACTAACACTGACACACAATCACAATAACACTGCAACAAACCACACTAACACTGCAACAAACCACACTAACACTGACACACAACCACACTAACACTGACACACAATCACAATAACACTGCAACAAACCACACTAACACTGACACACAACCACACTAACGCTGCAAACCACAAAAACATGGACACAAAACCACAACAGCACTGACACACAACTACAATAACGCTGCAAAACACCACAATAAAACAGATACATACACTACAATAAAGCTACAACACACCACAATAACACTTCAGCACATCATATTAATGCAGCAACACACCACAATAAAGCATCTACACACACTAAAGACGCAACAAACACTAAAGTATACACCACAATAACACTGCAGGCCACAAACCACAACACTGAAACACACCACAAGGAAGTTGCACACTATCACAATGCTGCAATACACAGAACACAATAACACTGACACACCACAACAACACTGCAACACCCACAACAATAAAGTTGCAAAATGCACCACAATAAAGTTGCAGACACCACAATCGCAGTGCAACAAACAACAATGCTGCAACCCAGACAAGAAAATAACACTAACACACCACAATTACACTGTCACACAAACACCACGATAAATTTGCAACAGACAAAACAAAGCTGCAATACACAACACAATAAAGTTGCAACACACACCAAAAAAAGGCTGCAGCACAACACTAACACTGCAACACACACCACAATCACAGTGAAACACATACAATAAAAAAAATTGAAAGAAGGCACAATAACGCTGCAACCCACATAACAACAACAACAACAACAACAACAACACAACAACAACAACGCTGCAACACACCATGACAAAGATGCAACAGACACTTCCATAACGCTGCAATACATACCGAAATAAAGTTGCAATAGACACCAAAATAATGCAACTATACTACCAAATTAAATTGGAAGTTGACACCACAATAACACTGCAACACAGATAACGCTTCAAACAATACCACAAAAACGCAGCACACAACAATAAAAAACACAACAATAAAGCTGCAGTGTAAACCAAAATTATGTTGCAACTTTCACCACAATAAAGCTGCAATATACACCTACATAACGCTGCAACTCACAATAATGCTAAAATAACTAACACCACCATAAGGCTACAAGTTGCCCCAGAATAAAGCTGCAGTACACAATAACCCTGCAACTTACACCACCATAATGCTGCTACACACCACAATGATCCTGCAACATTCACCACAATAACACTGCAAAACACACAAAACACTGTAAACCCCATAATAATGCGGCAACAAACACCACATTAACACTGCAACATAGAGTACAATAACACTGCAACTTATACCACAATAAAGCTGCAACATACACCACAGTGAATGTGGTGCAAACCACAGTAAGGCCACAAAACTCACCACAAAAAAACGCTGCAAAATACCACAATAACGCCACACATACACCACAATAACGCCACAACACACACCACAATAACGCCACAATACACCCGCAATACGCAATAACGCTACACACACAATAACGCCACAAAACACACCACAATAACGCCACAACAACGCCACAAAACACACCACAATAACGCCACAACAACGCCACAAAACACACCACAATAACGCCACAAAACACACCACAATAACGCCACAACACACACCACAATAAGGCTGCAATATGCACCACAGTAACACTGCAACACACCACAATAAGGCTGTAACACGACAATAGCACTGCATCACGCACACAGTAACACTGCAATTTACACCACAATAACGTTGAAATACACATCACAGTAAAGTTGCAGACACCACAATCACAGTGCAACAAACAATAATGCTGCAACAGACAAGAAAATAACACTAACACACCACAATAACAGCCACACAAACACCACAATAAATTTGCAACAGACAACACAATTAAGTTGCAACACAGACCACAATAATGCTGCAACTCACCACAATAAAATTGCAACACACCAAAAAAATGCTGCAACACACACCACAATAAGGCTGCAACACACACACCACAAAGAAACGCTGCAACACACCTCATTCATGCTGCAAAACACACCAAAATAATGCTGCAACACACCACAATAAAGCTGGAACACACACCACAATGTAGCTGCAACACATACCACAATAACGCCGCAACACGCACCACAATAAGGCTGCAACACGCACCACAATAAGGCTGCAACACGCACCACAATAAAGCTGCAACACAGCACACTAACGCAGCAAAGCACCACAACAACGTGGCAGCACATCACAATAATGTAGCAACACGTCACAAAAAACGCTGCAACACATCATAAAGCTAGAACGCACCACAATAAAGCTGCAACACACCACAATAAAATTGCAACACACCACATTAATGTTGCAAAACAAACCACAATAAAGCTGCAACACACCACAATAACCGCAACACGCACCACTAAACTGCAACACCACACACTGCAACACCACCACATAAAGCTGAACACGCACACATAAAGCTGCAACACCACCACAATAGGCTGCACACCACACATACAGCAGCAACACATCAGACACATCACTAACACTGCTACACACAGAACACTAACACACACCACACTAACTGTTACACACTAACACTGATACACACAACACTAACATTGACTCTTACCACACTAACACTGCTACACACATACAACAGCAACACTAATTCACACACACACACACACACACACACACACACACACACACACACACACACACACACACACACACATCACTAACACTGCTACACACAGAACACTAACACACACCACACTAACACAACACTGACAACAGTGATAAAAACCACTATAACAATAATACACCAAACTAACACTGATACACACAACACAAACACCACACTAGCACTGACACACACATAAGCGCAACACGCACACATTAAGCTGCAACACACCACAATAAGGCTGCTACACACAGAACACTAATGCACACCACACTAACACTGATACACAAATACAACAGTAACACTGATACGGTAAACACACTAAAACAACAAACTAACAATGCTACACACACCACACTAACACTGCTACACATAACACTAACACCGACACACACATACAACAGTAACACTGATACACACACACACACCACACTAACACTGCTACACATAACACTAACACATACAACAGTAACACTGATACGGTAAACACACTAAAACAACAAACTAACAATGCTACACACACCACACTAACACTGCTACACAAACACTAACACACACACACTAAACAGTACACACTAACACGAACACACAACACTAACATTGCTACACATAACACGTAACACATACAACAGTAACACTGATTCACACACACACACCACACACACACACTACACAACACCATGCACACATACAACAGTAACACTGATACACACACACACAACACACACCACACTAACACAACACTGACAACATACAACAAACCACTATAACAATAATACACCAAACTAACACTGATACACACAACACAAACACCACACTAGCACTGACACACACATACAGCAGCAACACTGATACGCACACCACACTAATACTGCTACACACAACACCAGCACAAACACACTACACTAACACCGACACACACATACAACAGTAACACTGCTACACACATACAACAGCAACATTAATTCAGACACATCACTAACACTGCTACACACAGAACACTAATGCACACCACACTAACACTGCTACACAAAACACCAACACAAACACACACTACACTAACACACACATACGACAGTAACACTGATACACACACACACACCACACTAACACTGCTACACATAACACTAACACATACAACAGTAACACTGATACACACAACTCCAACACAAACACACTACATTAACACCGATGCACACATACAACAGTAACACTGATACACACACACACACACACACCACACTAACACTGCTACACACAACACACACACCGCACTAACACACACCACATTAACGCTGACACACACTAACACACCACAATAACACTCATACACACATACAACACTGATACACACACTACACTAACACTGATACACACAACACACACCACAAACACACACTACATTAACACTGACACACACTAACACACCACAATACCACTGATGCACACAGTAACACTGATACACACACTACACTAACACTGCTACACAAAACACCAACACAAACACACACTACACTAACACACACATACGACAGTAACACTGATACACAGACCACACTAACACTGCTACACACAACACAGACACACCGCAATAACACTGATACACACATACAACACTAACACTGCTACACACAACACTAACACTGAAACACCACACTAACACTGCTACACACACACAGAACCTAAAAATGGCCGTAATTTACCTCAGACATTGTTATTCGTGTTGAGGACCACTCAAGGGTTGTAAATGTACATTACAAAAAATGTTTATTTCATCATGAGGACATTTGGTCCTAACAAAGGGCCAATTACAAACACACATACATACAGTTATGCTGTAACACACACACGCAAAATAACCCTGCCACACACACCACTAACAGTCTCACACACACACACACACACACACACACACACACACACACACACCACAATAACACACAAAACTACAACGATGCACACACCATCTCACACACACGCACAAAACACCAACTCGGTCATGAGCACACAGTAACGCCGCCACACAAATTAAAGCCACAAAACAAAATTCGGAAACTTTTAAGAAAATCACCGCTTGTTTCCAAAGCTTCTCGGCCTGTCGTGACCTTAATGAGCGCATCATTTATCTCAGGGAGGAACGGCTGAGGTTCCAGCATGCAGTGCCAGCCGATGCCAGGTGATGCCCACTTACGCTGCTCTCTGAAAAATCCGTCTCCGCAGGAACGGCAGGACCGATTTCATCCTCGTACGCAGAGACGGTGGGTTTGGCTCCGTTGGTGGTGTAATCGTAAAATCCATCATCGTAATGATTCGGGTCCAGCTCCTTCGCTTCGTACTCGTTCAAATCGTACTCCTTAAATTCCGTGAACTCTGGGCCCTGAGTGGCTTTGGCCTCCACGGTTTCCACAGTTTCCACAGTTTCCACGTTATCCACATTCACCTCTGTGGCCGCAGTGGGATCGGCTCCAACCTGGTCCACTCCGGTGATGTAATCATCCACAATCTCCTCTTCATACACCGGGTTCTGCTCAGGAGAGCACAAAACAATTAGGACATGTTCATACGGCTGTTTGAAAGTCTGCAGTCACTATTCAAACATTTTCAAGTTTTTGGCAGATAAATATGTAAAATGACTCTTTCTAGGTTGTAGGATCGATCAGCTATGTCTGATATCCGTATCGGACAATTTTCAGCCCAAATATGCAATCGGCATATTTCTCTAACTTGGCCGATCCTGAGTTCCGACCAGTGCCATAAAATATGAGCCAAATTTCGCCTGAGGCGCCAGAATACAACTGCTGCACCATTTAATTCAAACAAGAGACTAGCGAACAGGAACACTTCAGACTCGTCATATCTATTTCACTAATGAAGAACTTTTTTCTCTGAAAGTTATCACCACATATTGGCCTCCTCTTTCGCTGTAAGCTCGCTGTGTGAACGTACAGAGCTGTGATTAACACGGTTTGTTGTCAAAGCTTTGAGGATTCTCTTCTGGTAGCATGTTAGCACCCAAGCGCTAATCTTGGCTTACACTGCACTAGCTTCATGACCTACAACTGTAGCAGGAACCAAAAATAAAAGCGATCGATTGTCAGCCCTTTTTATCGCATATTCAAAAACCCATCCACAAAGTAGAAGGACTGTTCTGTCCTGTTAGCTGTGCCGGTTGCGTAGGCTTCAGATTTTTTAATGGTTACGCTAGCCTTAGGTGCCAGAATGTAACTGCTGCACCATTTAAGGTGGAATGGGGAAATTTGAAAAAGATGTGGTACCACAGAGTTGAAAGGCATGAAAAGGGATGAGGAGGCTGCTCTGTTTCTGGGCAACATTAACTAATTTTTGCTGTTTCACCGAACCAACAGGTCAGTATTGTTTTGTCCTGTTTTCTAATGTTTGTGAACGCTAATCGCAACTGGTTAGCTTCGCAACAGCAACTTTAGCGACAGTTCGCTAACCCATAACCAAGCTAATGTTAGCGCATTACTTGCTTTTTTGTTGTTTGCTCTAATGTTATATCATGATATTTGTCCAAACGTTTGTAGAGTTTTATGGCCATAAAGATCCAAAACAAGTGTTGTTCTTTAGACTCTGACAGATGGAAAACTACTTACAGCTGTACAGAAGATCTTTTATGAACTAAACCCGCTCTTCTCCACTGCAGCGCTTAACCCAGGATAACTAATGTAGCACAGCTAGCAAACGCACTGCATTAAAATCAGATAGACTTAATGATTTAACTACCAACAGCTGAGTCATTCTGTGAAAACGTCTATTTTTGTGTCCCTAGCGTTTACATATATATCACACTTGAAAAACATATTAGGGTTACAATTTATTTATATTTCAAAATAAAACAATGGGTTATTCCAACAATTACACCTTCTTGAGCCGTCAATTATATAGAACTCCAAGCAGCACTCGTCCTCACAGTCATGTGTAAAGGGTGAGGCCATATTTTGAGGTAAAAACATGTTTTTCTGTTATTTTAACTGCAATAATTTGTCCATGACTATGAAATATATGATTTAGATGACAGAGAAAACAAATGCCAAATAAACCTTATAAAATATACAATGAAAGCTGTGGTCCCCAGGGCTCTCCTTCATTCTCAGTAGGTACTCTTAGCATATAAGGCTAACCTAGATGTAGTTAAATAGTTATGTAAACTTATGTAAGCTAGCCATGTTAATATAAAAGAAGGTGATACCATGCAATGCTAAGAGATAAAGTGCATGCAATATCATTTAACGCTCTGCTGTATTGTTTGTGCAAAATATGATAAACATATCTCCATTTTATGAATTTTAATAAATCATTTTTTTATTGTACATTCCAGATAATATCAATCAAACTGTAGTTGGGTTGTTTTGATTAAGTAAAAATAACTACAAAATACAGGCAACCTATAAAATTTAACTTTATCGACTTTTTTTAATTTAAAATTTAGTTCTTTGGCAAAAGCTGATAAGTCCAATGGTAATTTAGTTTTAGAGTTAATCAAAGTTATTTAATGGATACAGGTTTCTTTTAAGGCCAATATTTAAGATTCTTTACCATAAAACAGGCAGGTAAAGAGCTGAAAACTGAACACAAAGCCATTAATCAGCAATATTAAACATCTGTAAGATTTGACCTCTGAAAATCCTCAGGCTGACTCTCAGATGGCTCACTGCTCCCTGTAGAGTCACTATATGAGTTATGAAACTGTGTGTTCAGTATGATTTTCCTCCATGGCTGAATCCAGAGCGGTTCTCTGTTAGACTCACTGAGCTCTGTTTGAGATCAGTATCTGTTAGTTTAAGACCTGCGTCCTGCTCTTTGTATGGAGAAGGAGCTGTTTGAGATTCAGTGCCGTGCCACCTGACCCAAATCGGGTCTGCTGGAGAACAGCGCTGGCGTTTGACCGTTTCTGCGGTAAAACGTGATTTTTCAATGCCTTGGCAATGAACAATATCAGCTTTAGTAACTAAAGGAGTTTAGGGTTCAGAATGAGCTGAGTGTTAGAACAACTCACTGCAGTCAGCTCCATTTTAAAGGATGGAGTTTATCATTTTTTACAAATTAACTCTTCATATTTAGAGGACCGTGCCGTCTGTATATGTTTCAGATGCCTCCTGCACCGCAGCCTTGCAGTTAAGACCACTTTTCCATCTGCCAGCCCTCCTCACATGGGGTTAATAGAGGAAGAAAAATAATTGTACGTTTTGTTGGATAATCCCTGGACTTGCTCCTCATAATGAAAGCAGTGTTCTGCGTGGCGTCGGCCCCTGTAGGTGTATCATCTGAAGCAGGCGTTTGGCCCCAGCTTCACGCAAACATGCTGTTCGAGTTTAAACCCAGAATGTTCTTCATTACGCTTCCATTCGTGTCACTGAACTGATTGTTTAGCACAAGCTAAGGCAGGAACAGCTGAATAAAACAGCTGCATCCCTTTCACCCCTTTCACATTTGGTCTATTAAATGGCACAGCAGATATTTTTGTTTGCCTGCATTACATTAGAGCTAATCTGAAGCACAGCGACAGTGAGTGAAGGACGGGAAACACAGTCAGCAAATAAGGTGATTTTGATCTGCACAAAAGGAACAAACTCACTTCTTACTCACTGATGTTTGAAGTGGGAATCCCGCAAAGCATGTCTGTTTGATTCTGATGTCTGATTTTTTGGATTCTGGTCAATGGATTTTAATGGATTTATGAGCAAATGGTTCATCAAGGGTTCTTAAGAAAAGGCAATGGTTCTTTTAAGAAGCATGAATTCTACATAGAGACATTTTTTTGCTTAAGTGAAATGGTTCTTCAGATTGATGGAGAATGTGTTCTACATAGCACCAAAAAGGATTACAAGCTTGGAATCGTAGCAATAGCAGAACCCTTTTGGTGCTACATAGAACCATTTCACAATACAATGAACCGTTTAAGCACACTCTTAAATAAGATGGCTCTTCATGGGTTCGTTCGTAAAGGCAATAGTTCTATTAAGAACCATTAATTCTATATAGAACAATTTTTTTGCCTAAATGTCTGTTTATGTTGTGAAATTGTTCTTCAGATTGATGGAGAATGTGTTCTACATAGCACCAAAAAGGGACATCGTAACAATAGCAGAACACTTTTCAGTGTTACATGGAACCATTTCACATGCAAAGAACTGGTTAAGCACCCTCTCTAAAAAGATGGTTCTTCATGGGTTCTTTTGTAAAGGCTGTATAATTGTATTTGGTTCTATTTAAAACCAAAAAGACTTACAAGCTTAACATCATAACTATAGCAGAACCCTTTTTAGTGCTATATAGAATTTTCAAAAAAGGTGCTCCATCAATCTAAAGAACCATTTTACCATGCAAAGAACCATTTCAGAATGCAAGTGGATCTGTAGAGCACAATAAATAAAACCACTGTCTTTACTGAAGAATGGACAGCCATCTTTTTAGGTGTGAAATATTGGTGAAGAATTGATAATAATATGGTATTAATATGGATTTCTAACCTTGCTTGTCACAGATGTTGTCGGGTTCTCAGGTTTGGATCCGTCGATGGTGTCGTAGTCCACTTCAGTGTAATATTCAGCGTCGAAGCTGTCGGGCTGTGTGGAAACAATAAATCAAAAATTAAAAACACAGATTTAAAACGGTGCCGTAACTGTGTAAACATCACGGTCACTGTCCACCATCTCCAATGTAGTAAAACATTAAAGATCTGCAGCCGTTTACAGAACCGTCTAAACTCTGAACTCTGACCGAATTTAGTTCAGTATCTATTCCAGAATAACAGTTCCTACCTTCATCATCTCATCATCAACTCCAGATAAGAAAACAGCATCACACAAACATCCTAACTGGACTAAACCTCCTAAATCCTGTCCTAACTTTAGGATGAACCCCAACAGGGTCCTCACTTCTGTTTAAGGTCCGTTTCTATGGTTTTTAGGCAGCTGAGTCAGCAGCATAGTTCGCTACCAGCATAATGAGCTCCATTTATTTCTACTGTAAAACGCTGCTTTCACTGTGAGATGATTTTCTTTTCTAACTCTGCGTTTTAAAGATCTCAGACGCTGCAGACTCGATCTCCACCGCCCCTCTGATCACCTTCGTGTGTTAATGTTGATGATGAAATATTACAGTGATGGTGGTGAATAATGAGGAGACGGAGCTGAACGTGTGTCTGTTTATTAGGAGGAGTAACGTTAGCGCGCTCGGCTAAAGCGTTTGGGGAATGGAGACTGAAACTGGGGAGCGGCGATGCTCTGATAAACAGCAGGGGGCGCTCTCACAGTATTCACACCTCACAGTTTATCACACTTTAGTTCTGTTTGAGCTTTTTTCCATCAGCAGCTTAACTCACATTTCAACATTATTTTGATTACATGATTACGTTTCAGCTGTGTGTTTATGGTCGGTTGCTAGGAAACAGACACGCTTTCAGCCCACTGGGAATTCTCCCGACTCTCCCTATTACCCACTCCGGCAGTGGACATAACCAATGCAGGATAAATCGCAGAACACGGGCTGTCCTTTACCTTGGTTTCCGTTCTGGTCTCTCCATCCGGGACCTCAGTGGGCGTGAGTTCTCCATCTGGGTAGTCGTAGATCTCTCCATAATCAGTGTATTCAGTGGTGTCCTGAGAGAGACAGAGGTGGACAGTGTGTTAGTTCTTCTAAAAGTGGCTTTCTGGGTAAAACAAGTTTCGCTATTGCCTTACAGACAGTTATTAACCTCAGAAATACAGGCGTTCGTATGACTTCAGCCAAAACACAACGGTGAGTCACTTCATCTTTGTAATAGTTACCAAGATTATAACTCGAGGAGTCCAGAACTGTTGGAGAACCAAACACACAACAATGTGAGAGTCTGGACTAAATAAAGGATGTAAATGCTTTGTGGAAAAAACCTTCACAGCTCTTAGAGCACAGGAACATCAGTGAACGGATACAGAGCGATAAATCAGTGGAGGTGAAAATAACTATAACCAAAATGCTAGTTTAGCCATGTTAGCTGGAGTTGTTAAACAGCTCCTTAACAATAAACTAGTTGGCAAAAAGCTAAACGCATGCACATCCCAGCAGGGGGCGCACCGGGTCGTCAGGGTCCGTAGCGCCACTGTAGACCTTTTTTTTTATTCGCATTTATAAGCACTCAGCTGGTTTCCTGATACGTTTAATCTGCAAAAAAAAACACTAAAAAGTCATGAGGCTGGCGTCGCTTCTCGTTCGAATTTACCCGTTCCACCTTAAATTGTGCAGCACTTACATGCTGGTGGCTCAGACACCATTTAAGGTGGAACCACTGGCACCAGTGAACGAACATCTGCTCCCCGCTGAGCTCTCGCTCTCTCAGATACTGACAGCTTTAGAGGGGGGAAATGAAAACTGTTCCTCTGAAAGCGGCTGAAGCAGCAACTTTAAAGCATGAACTGCACATTAATGTTGGTCAGCAGCGCTGAAACACAGACACAGAGGGTCTTTAACTCCGAATGACGAAGTTTATTCCTTTACTGCATAAACTGAGATGAGGCTGTTTTTGCTTCACATTTGAACACTTGAGTGAGCCGTACACGCTGTACTCATCGCTGTTATTGGCTGTGCTTTAGCGTGCGCAGCGTTACCCTGCAACAAGAACCTCCAGCAGAAAAAAATGCAGAAAGGGCCTATTTCACACAACCTGGAGCCTTTAGAGCACAGACTGGAAACATACAGCAAACAGAAATGTCTGGTGGCATTTGCATCACACTTGTAAGGTTCTGTGTTCTGTGCAGAAGCAGTGATTATCCCATTGTACTCAATGTTAACAAAAACCTAATTCTATGTTCGCAGTGTGTACCGCGCTGGTATTGCTTCAGCGTAATGAGGGAAAATGAGACGTTTGGATTGGAGCGGTAAATCAGCCTGACGTTCCTCTGTGCATACAGCGATGTCTGTGTGTGAGAAACGTATTAGATCTGAATGTCAGTGGAGCCTCGACTGCCTCTCATTCTGACTGTTATTTTGTTTGACTCTGGATGTCGAGCTCAGGAGCTGCTGTTCTGGGCTGGAATGAAATCGTATTAAATAAACAGGACAAGCCTTTAAAAATGCCTCTTATTATTAATCTTGTTAATTAATATTGACCTTTAACTCTGGGTTGGTTTGAACGATGGAGTGAGGCAGCTTGTGTTTACAGGTTTGCTGTGATGCGGCTTCGTCCATCACCGAGGGATAAATATGGGTCCCAGGACAGCAGCTGAGCTAATAAACATAACAGAGGGAGGAAGGAAGCCAAGAACTGGACTGGCTGCCTTCCACTGGGGGGGTGAGAGAGAGAGAGAGAGAGAGAGAGAGAGAGAGAGAGAGAGAGAGAACACAAAAAGAAATCAATATAGAAAAAGAGAAAATGAGAGAAAATGAAAGGGAGACAAAGGGAGAGGAAGAAAGAGTAAATAAACAGAGAAAAAGAAAGTAATATCAAAAGAGAGAAAATAGACAAAAAAGAGACAGAAAGCAGAGAAAGAGAGGAATATAGAAAAAGAGAGAAAATGAGAAAGGAGAGATAAAGAAAGAGAGAAAAAGAAAAAGAGAGAAAGAGAGAATGAAAAAAAGAGAGAAAGGGATAGAAAGAAAGTGGAGAAAACAGAAAACAAAAGAAAGCAAAGGAGCAAAAAACAGAATGAATGAGAAAGAGACATAAGGAAGGAGAAAGAAAAAAAGAAAAAAAAGAGTGGAGAAAACAGGAAAAGAAAGCAATATATATATATATATATATATATATATATATATATAGAGAGAGAGAGAGAGAGAGAGAGAGAGAGAGAGAAAATAAAGCAGTACAGAAAAAGGAAGAGAGAGAGAGAGAGAAAGAGAAAGGAAGAGAAAGAAAGAGTAGAGAAAACAGAAAGAGAGAGAGAGAGAGGAACGACAAAGAGAACAGATAGGGCAAGAGAGAATAAAAGAGACAGAAAACAAAAAGAAAAGGAAGAGAAAGGAAGAAAATAGGGACCGAATGAGACAGAGAGAAAATGAAAGAGAGAGATGAGGAAAGAGAAAGAGAGACAAAGAAAGATTGGAGAAAATGAGAAAGAGGAGAGATAAAGAAAGAAAGAAAGAAAGAAAGAAAGAAAGATAGAGAGAGAGAGAGAGAGAGAGAGGGAGAGAGAGAGAGAGAGGGGGAGAGAGAGAGAGAGAGAGAGAGAGAGGGGGTGTTGAGAGGAAGAAATCTCCAGCCGGGACTCAATTTATGTCCCTGGAATCTCCTGCCAGGCTGGGCCGCGGCCAGCAAACGGGATGAAAAGCATAAATATCAGTCTGAACTTTTAAAACGTGCCGTTCTGCTCCCACACGTGTCGGAGTGTTCGGAGTGGTGCGGGGGAGCGGAGTGTGGGGAGAATTTGGAAAACGCAGAGTCTTTCTGATCCCTCTGCTGCTCTGAATGGAAATAGATGTCAGGCTGTCAGTTCTCCGGGCTGTAATATCACAGTCAGAGCAGCGCGCCGTCCACAGTGGCGGTCAGTGGCAGTGTTATTATGTAATTCCGTGTTAAACACTCCCCGCTGCCCCACTAAGTGCTTTTTTACTTTGGCATCATTTAGCATAGCTTATGATGCTAGATTTTCCAGCCTTGGCTGGGGAACGGTTTCAATACACTGGCCTACAGTTATGATGATTTATCAGTGAGCTACATTCATGAGGGCTTTTATTTTTAACAGCCTGCAGGCGAAACTCCGCTCTTCCAGGTATTCCAGCGCTAGCTGCGACGCGAGAAGCTAGCGCTTTCCCAGCGAGTGCGCCGGAGCCTGCAGAAGCCATTAGTGAAATATATCACTGGGCCCCTCCAAAAGTGGTCTCAGACTCCGTGGAAAGGGGGGAAAATGTTTCCACTGTGAGCTCATGAGTTATTCTGTGAAATACCATCGGAAAATATCGGAGCACACTCGGGACGTCGAAAAATTCCACAACATTATGAGCAGAGTTTCAGTTATTAAAGTAGGAGCAGAGTGAGAGCCTTCTGGATTTCCATCATAGACAGAAATCAGCCCAAAACATCATGACAGCACTTAAGAATGTCACAACTCCGCTTTACATCGTTTATTTAAAAAAAAATGCATACTTATTTATATGAATTCATATACACTAATAAAATATTCTTCCAAGGTTCTTTAGCAAAGACAATAGTTCTAGAGCCATAAACACTCAAAGAACCATATGCATGCTTAAATCGTTCTCTGCATGGTAAAATGGTTCTTCAGATTGATGGAGAATGTGTTGTAGATGGTTCTATATGGCACCAAAAAGTTCTTCTATTGTTATGATGTCAAGCTGGAACAATAGCAGAACCCTTTTTAGTGCTATATAGGGCCATTTTCGAAAAAGGTGCTAATGTAGAACCATACACAGCACATTCTTCATCAATCTGAAGAACGATTTCACCATTCAGAGATCCATTTAGGGATGCAAATGACTCTGTGTTCATGGTTATATGTAGAACCACTTTACTAAATAACCCTTGAAGAGGTAATTTAAACAAAAAAGTAATATATTAATTTCATTAATTTTAATTTCATTTCATCATTTATAATACATTTACAGTATATCTTGGTATGGCAGATGGGAACCATCCACTACAGAGAAGATTATTAGTTTGATCATCCCTCAGAAGAGCTCGGTAACACTGAGATTAATAACCGATCACAGTGATTTATCAGTCTACTCAGGCTTTAGCAGAGCTCAGTAACACTGAGATCAATAACTGATCACATTGATTTATCAGTCTACTCAGGCTTTAGCAGAGCTCAGTAACACTGAGATTAATAACTGATCACATTGATTTATCAGTCTACTCAGGCTTTAGCAGAGCTCAGTAACACTGAGATTAATAACTGATCACATTGATTTATCAGTCTACTCAGGCTTTAGCAGAGCTCAGTAACACTGAGATTAATAACCGATCACATTGATTTATCAGTCTACTCAGGCTTTAGCAGAGCTCAGTAACGCTGAGATTAATAACCGATCACATTGATTTATCAGTCTACTCAGGCTTTAGCAGAGCTCAGTAACACAGATAATACGATCACATGATTTATCAGTTACTCAGGCTTTAGCAGAGCTCAGTAACACAGATAATACCGATCACATTGATTTATCAGTCTACTCAGGCTTTAGCAGAGCTCAGTAACACTGAGATTAATAACCGATCACATTGATTTATCAGTCTACTCAGGCTTTAGCAGAGCTCAGTAACACAGATTAATAACCGATCACATTGATTTATCAGTCTACTCAGGCTTTAGCAGAGCTCAGTAACACTGAGATTAATAACTGATCACATTGATTTATCAGTCTACTCAGGCTTTAGCAGAGCTCAGTAACGCTGAGATTAATAACGATCACATTGATTTATCAGTCTACTCAGGCTTTAGCAGAGCTCAGTAACGCTGAGATTAATAACCGATCACATTGATTTATCAGTCTACTCAGGCTTTAGCAGAGCTCAGTAACGCTGAGATTAATAACCGATCACATTGATTTATCAGTCTACTCAGGCTTTAGCAGAGCTCAGTAACGCTGAGATTAATAACCGATCACATTGATTTATCAGTCTACTCAGGCTTTAGCAGAGCTCAGTAACGCTGAGATTAATAACGATCACATTGATCATCAGCCATCGAGTGATCTGATATCAGTCTACTCAGGCTTTAGCAGAGCTCAGTAACGCTGAGATTAATAACCGATCATCACATTGATTTATCAGTCTACTCAGGCTTTAGCAGGAACGTCAGTGTTTATAAAAAAACCATTAATTGAGCTCCTCTTTAGAATCTAACTAACCAGCATGTTTGCACTGATACTAAAATAGTTAATAAACAAGCATTGATAGTATTTATTTTGAATATTGTATGTTTTTAAATGTAAAAGTAACTGTATTCTGATTACACTGCCTTTAGTAAATATAACTTGAACTGAACACAGATGCTTAATTACTGTATCCTGGATATTTATTCCCAATATTTGTATTCTGTTATGTCCCAACCCTGACTAAAGTAAAATTTAATAACTATAGAGTCAAACCAGGAATGTTAGGGAAGTACACTGTGTGAGCCCCTCTTTAATATTCCGGATATCTCCACCCAACCCCATCTCTGTCCTGAATTCAGTCACCCACTGACCTCTTCCTCAGGCTCTTGGGCCTGCGGTGTTTCCTGGTGTGGCGTTTCGCAGTCTGGGCTGTAGTGTTCGCAGTAATCGTACGCAGCCCGGGGGTCCGCCACCAACATCAGCTGCTGGATATCTCCCTGAAAAAAAAGCACAGAGCAAATATTTCACACACGTCCCCAACACTTCATTCCAGAACTACATTCCAAATCTCCCAGCAGGAAAACTGCACAGTCAGCGTCTACATTCCAGAGGTGAAAAAAACCAAACACCATCCAAAAGCAATCTTACTGTGTTCCAAGTGATCCATCGCCTTAATTCCAAACCCAGAAACTTCACATACCATTACAAACACTGTTCAAAACTCCAGGACGTGTTCGGTGCAGAGATAAAAAGTGCTGCACTGAATTTCCCTGCTTGAAAAACCAGCATCACACCCGCACAGACCAGCACAGACCAGTTTAGACCTGCATAGACCAGCATAAACCAGCACAGACCAGCATAAACCAGCACAGACCAGCATGAACTTTGTGCAGGTCTGTGCAGGGGTTTTCAGTATTATTACATTATTACAAAAGGAACCTAAAAGACGTGACTGTGTTGATGTAATAAGTGTATGAATGTGGAAATAATGTACACTTTATAAAGCATAATTACATGAAATAATGATTCTTTCTTTTAGCTTAAGACACTAATCAAAGGCACCCACTAGAAAAACCAGTGTAGATCAGCAAAACCAGTGTATGATGAAAGTTAACATGCTAGCCACCAGCAAAACCAGCGTATGTTGTGTTTTGGAGAGGTGTTAGAGTTTGCTATCATTGCTAAGCAACCAAGCACTTCTGAATGTGGAGAAGAAAGTGTGGCCGCCCATCGCTGTACGCTGAAATCATTTCAGGAACTTTTTAACTTTTGTTGTATAATAATGAACAAATCATAACACAGCACTGGTTAATACCAGAACCTCTGATTTATAAGTTCTTTATGGTCACCACATTTTCAACGCGAGTCTTGTTTAGCACCAATCCAGCAGTGCCCTCTTCTCACACTGGGGCTGAATCTCAAACGGCTCCCTGCTCCCTACATAGTGCACTACATAGGAGTTTAAATACTGGATCCTGCAGCCCAGCAGTGCAAAATATCACTAACAAATAGTCACTTGGGATTCAGACTCATCCACACTCGACAAATGAAGCACTATTTGGCTATAGAGGCTAGAATTTCTAAACTTCCCTTGTGCACTATTTAGGGAGTACGAAGCCGTTTGAGACTCAGTCTGGGTTTGACGCGACTTCTGACAGACATTTGAAGCCTCTAAGACTTTCAAATGACATTTTTTAGACTTTTATTCTGCCGTTTTCCAGGTAATCATCTCATAAGTGCGTTAATTCAAGCCTGTGATATTAATGCTGGAGCTGTTTAGCATGTTTGTTATCTTTTAGCCTTGTTCTAGATAAGGAAATAAGCTGTCAGCCCCTCATTTTAAACAGAACCGGGTTCTTACTTCATCGGTACACTCAGTGCTCCATGTGAGCAGCATTAGAGTCAAAGACTATTCATTAACAGCACAAGGTTTTTGGAACTATTAGTTTTATTAAACAACATTTAATTCAGACATTCATGCTGAACAAAAGACTATTAGAACTATTGGGATTGAAACCTGATACATTTGCTTTCTTTTGGGAATAATGGCTTAATGGTTACCTTTAGAGACCACTAGCTTACTGGAAGAGAACTTTAGATCCCATTAGGAAACCATCAAATGAATCTGGAATCACCTGTTAAACCACTAGAGTCTTTTCCACTGTGATATCAACCCCTCAGGACAACAGAACACCATTACTGGACACCACCAGGATGCAGGACACTTAATAGCGTCTGTGATTTTTTTCAGGATCAATGATATGCAGATGTGCGCATTTCAGTTTGGCAATATGGAAATTTTAAACACAGGTATCAGCTTCAATCAGGAACTCGGTACTTCCTGCGTTCTGCTCACGGCTAATGCTAATCTGTTTCAGTAATATTCAACAGATGCTCTAAACACAGCACAGATCACTGATTCCTGCACTAAAGCAGATACGCCTGCCAGGGCCGATCAGTGTGTGATCGGGTCTCTGACAGTAGCTTTAGAGTATTGATCGCATCCCTGGATTTTTAAACTGTAGGCCTCAGGACTGACAGCTGATCAGGCAGCTAAACCTGGAACTCTGCTGGTCAGCTGAGGCAGCAAAGGAGGACCTAACTGGGTCACTGTGTGGAACAACTGCTCTATTACTTCAAAGTTTATAAACAGTTATAAAGACAGTGGTTCTGTATAGAATCATGAGCACTCAAGAACCATTTTCATGCTTAAATGGTTCTAAGCATGGTGACATTGTTCTTCAGATTGATGGAGGATCCGTGTTCATCTACGGTTACAAGCTTGACATCGAAACAACAGCAGTGCTATATAGAACCATTTTCAAAAAGGATCTGTATAGAACCATATATGACAAATTCTCCATCAATCTGAAGAACCATTTCACCATGCAAAGAACCCTTTAAGCATGCAAATGTGTTCATGGTTCTATCTAGAACCACGTTCTTTACTAAAGAACCCTTGAACCAAGAGAAGACAAAGGACTTTCCTTTTACTTGATGACTCTGCAGAATTATTTTGACTCATTTTTTGGCAGTTTTAAAGAAGCCACAAAGGCAATTTTGAAAATATGGTTAGAACCTTCAGTTCTTTGTTCGGCTTACTTATTTTCAGGATATTACTCATCTGGAATGTGCAACTGCCGGGATAAATAAGGCCAAAATAAGAACAATTGTTTCCTGGTTAAACACTGAGAAAAGAAAATGTTAAAAATAATGAGAGCTTAAAAACGAGTGTGGAAACTCTTTTATACTGTGGTCCTTTATTTATTTATTTATCCTTTGTAATGTATACATCTCCTCCTCTTTTGTGAGTGGAATGCTGACCATCACTACTATTATCATTACAAATTACTACTATTGATGTCTAATAGTAACTATTATCTCTAAATGATTACTATTGTGAATGATACTTACTTTAATAATATACTAATCACAAAACAAAAAGAAAGGTCAGGGTTCAGCTCAGCGGACTGAGGACACACACCAGAAGGAGCGGCTAGCTACTGGTTAATTTGGATGGTGGAATTTGAAAGGATCTCCTCTTAAGTTGGAGCTGAAATTAGCTGTAGGTAACTAAGCCAAATGGGGGTCAATTATGAGAACAGGGGGGGAGACGACCTCTGTCAAAGCTGAAACATGATTGGACCTCCACTGTTCCTCTAAAACATGACCGGTCTTACATTTTTCCTGTGAAACATGATTGGTCCTTGTTATTTCTGCACCGACGGTGAATATGGTTAATGATTCAGTTCAGTCACACTAAAGACGAAACCAGAAAGCTCTGACGAAGATCGATGATGGACTTTTTTACTCTTCCAAGCTACCTAGAGGGTTCCAGCCCAACTGAGCCCCAGGCAGCACTAGAGAGAGCCCTGTTTCTTAGAAGAACCCTGCTATAGACCTACTAGCTGAAAAATTGGAAAGATAGAAGAACAGCCAGTGACCATTTTCCTTGTGCTGAATATCTGCGGCGGTCTGTTTTTCATGAAGATTCCGAGAGAGGAAATAAGATCCCCACTCCTGCTCCCGCCCCCCGACTTTAAATCCAAACGCCTCTGTGCATGATCTTATCCCAGGGATTCGTCCAGGAACCGTCTGTCTCCGCTGAGAATGTTAAATACGGCCCAGCAGGCCACAGAAAAATACCTCAGCTGACCTGCACAGACTACGGCCACTCAGCTATTACACAAAGCATCGTACAGAGGTAAATAGGCAAAGTAACACAGACTAAATATACACAGAGACAAGTTCAGGGCGCGATGTGGTTGGAGGGGTGAAGGTTTTGGGGCCAGCAGGGTGGCCTGGGAAAGTTAATACCAGCACACAAGATTGCATTAAATTACAGGGGCTCCATCTGCAGGAACTTCTGGAATACATTTTATGATGCTTCCTGGGGGTAAAGTTTTTTGGTATGGAGGAGGGGGGGTTGTGGGGGGGGGGTAGACATCCCACTGTACAACAAACATCTCACATACACGCATAAACACATGCTGAGAGATAATGTATGGACATAAACAAAACGTAAAGGCTCTCATTAAAATATATGGCAGACATTCTGAGCCTATCGCTCAGGTGCTCCGGGTACATAAATACTCAATGAATGAAATAAACAAACCCTTAAAAGTCTTCCTATATAAACGCCTGATTCAAAACACACTCACACAGGGCCACTTTGCCCTCTTACACACTTTCCCTCTCCCCATTTCTCCCTCATTCTTTTTCTTTCTGGATAGGATTTGCTTTCTTAAGTGTCTGGCACGACTCCTGCGCTGCTGAAATCTTCTCTTCGGATAATATACTCGCCCGGCTCAGCACACGAATTCGGCGGAAACATGGAACGATAAATTTTCTGGGAAAGCTACAGTATTCAGCAGCGGCACAGTGCAAACAGTTTATTACAAAGATAGAAAATACTACACTGTACAGTAACCCAATATCCACAAAGTAAGCAACCCAGAATCAGTTATGTATCACAACGGAGACCAAAACTGCCAAACCCAACAGTGATCAGCAGAAAAGTACTCACTTTATTCCATTTACAGTGTCTTAGGTGTACTGCAGAAAGCATAACAGTTCATTACCAGAAATATTCTTCACAGTCTCGTGGGGCGGGCTGATATGATGATATGTCATGAATATCGCAATAAGTAATGTCATAATACTAATATTAAAACATGTAAATAATAATCTGAGCACATTCCTGATATTATCAGCACTTCTAGAATTAATATATAAGGAGCATCACAATCACAATATGCAGCAATATAATTAGGGATGCATCAATATGGGAAACTGTTGGCCGATGCTGATATTTTTCAAGTCTACACTATAGGGTTCTTTCTTTAAGGGTTCTTTGATAAAATAGTCCTATACAGAACCATGAACACTCAAAGAACCATCTGCATGACTAAAGGGTTCTTTGCATCATGAAAGGATTCTTCAGATTGATGGAAAATGTGCAGGAATATGCTGGATGGTTCTATATAGAACATTTTCT